TATGGGATACTCAAGGTGTCTGGTGGCATACCTGGCCAATCTCATTTTTGCAGCACCTTTCTGCTTCACCTAATGTGTGTTTTGTTAGATTATTGCCCATCTATTTGCCTAGAAGTTACACAGCAGTGCATCTTTAGTGCATCCTTCTGCTGATGTGCTGAAAGCAAAACCTATAAAATCCTCCGCCCGGCCCCACGCGCCCCTCCGACTGAAAGCAGGAGTCGCGCTGGTTTTGTACATCTCGCATTTCTTGGGTTAACTTTCTCCTGCCCGAGATGAACCTGCAACTCAGCCAACTTCTTTGGTAAAGAAAATTGATTCTTGTTTACTCCTTTCAATAAAGAGAATCATGATGAATTTTAATAGGCCTACCCCCCACTGCTAGAAAATCTCCCTCCTTTGGCTGCATGGGCTTTGAAATACGTAAATCAGAAATAAGCCTGGATTTAAAGAAAAAGGGGACGATAAAGAAATTCTGCAAGTTTAAAGCTCATCCTTAATACTCGGTCAAACATCCTTCGTTCTTCCTCTGTGCCTCACCCCTACAAGCACTTGCTATATTATGAGAAACCCTGACTGTAAACTGAGCTCTGCTTTTTAGCTAGCCCGCTAATGATGTCAAAACAACTGAAAATGTTTCACATCTAATGTTGGAAAATTAACATAAGTCATTTCAACTCTGTTGAACAGACATTTTACTATGGAGAGAAGTATTTAAAAAAAAAATACAAATACTGAGGGAAAAGGGACATCGACTTTTAAAAATATTTCCTAGCATTACCATTCATATGGCATAAACAAACAGGCAGAGTGCATACATATTGGCCCCAGTCCTGCGATTTGGATGACAAGGGAGATCCTTTTGCCTAGGCAGTGCAAAACTAATTTCACTGCACTGGCACATAATGCAATGTGATTGCTCCCTCAGTTTTATATTACAAGGTCACTGGAGCAAAAATTTTTGTGGTTTGTACAGTACCAAGCACTCCAAGAAAACTTATTATATAATGATGTTATATTTGGTTTAAATAATCCCATACCTACTATATACTATGAGGATAAATACTTTATTTGTCTGACGTAGCAACCATGCAAAAAATGTAAAAGACAGCTTGCAGAATAACAGCTTTTGATAAGGAAATTTTACTCATTTATTGGAGTACAAAAATGACTTTTCTTTCCCAAGAACTCACAAACATTTGGAAACTTTTAATTGAAGTATTTCCATCCTTGGATTTTTTTCCTCCACGCATCAAAGAACTGAGTCCAGAATTCAACTTTTTACAATTCTGACAAACGGAACCTTACAAGCTGGCTAAGACATGCAATATTGCAAACCTAATAGCACTAAACTGTTGATGTCTTCAACAAGCAGAAGAAATGGCTTTTTCTTGGCTCTTCCAACGGACAGTATGGCTCAGAGCTCTGTTGAGATGCAAACTTTGGTCTTCCCCAATGTAGAACCAGTTGGAAATTTTGAAAATAAATTTTGAAGTATCAAATTGATACTTCAGAAAGATCTACTCAACATTACAAAATATAAGCTTTTTTTTTTTTAATAAAAATGCTTTCAAAATGCTTATACAAATTCTATCAACACACTTATTTACCAAAATGCAAGCCTATAAAATGGTGTTCCCATAACTGCCTCAATAAAAACTCATGTTTTCCTTTTTTACCCCTTTTTTTAAAAAGGTTATACAACAACCAAAAACTCATCTTTCAATTTTACTTTTTCCCACTGCAAGCAGAGTTTTTTTTTTTTCTGGCAGTAGCAACTGGGCTCACTTCCTTCAGCACCTGTATTTTCTGAGAGGCTGGTAAAACATGTACCAGTTCAGCTTTGTGAAAGTGGTTTAATGTAATCTCAGCCTCAACTGCTGTGACTTTGGAACCAAAGTATTCTGGGTTTTATTTTACTTTTATCTCATATGCTTAATACCAACACAGATATATCCCCTGATGCTTTATTGGGAATATGCAGCACCAGGCAGCTAGTAACATTAGGCACGAGGATTGCACGCACATGCATTGAACCAGAATTTAGGACGGGTGTGTGGCTGAAATAACTTTGTAATTACAGAAGTACTCGGAAAACTTCATCTTGCATCTCTGTCAGCTTAATTTTACCTCGAATGACCCTGGAAAAAATACAAAATATCCTTCATTTTGAAATACCTTTCCATGCTATTGTCTAGAAGCATCATTTGTTCAGCAAGTGTAAGTTGCATAAAATGATGCCTTCCATCCTCATTAGGATGAGCGACAACATTCCTGTAAAACTAACGCACACATGGCATGAGACAAACAATCCAAAATGAATACTATCAAAAGATAACAAATTATGGCAATTTTGATTTGGAAATGTAAAGGCTCTTCTGTCATTGATGCAGCTAAACCGCTTGGGTTCAAAGTAGGCACAGATCTTGTTGAACTGTCTCCTTCAGCAGCTCCAGCTCATGATTTTACCCAAACTGCTCTTGACATTACCCAGTCCTACTTCGTACATCCCATGAGTGGTGTCAGGAGACCCAGGTCAGCCACTGGAATTTACTTTCCCAAGAAAGAGCACGCACAAGGATGCAGGACGGGCAGCACAGGCATGTATGCCACCAGCCCACACAGTATATCTGGGTATTTATAGGGCAAAACACAAAGCCTCACTTCTCAGCAGAGCTGGCCACAAGCATGGCACAGGCACTGGTGTCCGTCTGAAGGCAGCACCCATATCAATGCTGTAATGAGAGTCAAATCCCATGTAATTTACACATTAAAAGGCAAGAGCAATGCATGAAAAAATCAGTTTGGCTAATGAAAAAATCAGTTTGTCTAATGAAATTAAAGCCCCTAATCAAATATTGGCAGGAAAGATATTTAGAAACTCTCCTAATGTCATCCAGCTAATTCTCCCTTATTCCAACTAGAAGGGAAAGCGGTTGACTGGTTTATTCCCCACTGAACTTCCCGCCCTCAAATCACCAAAAAGACCCTCTACTGAAGGGCGTGATTAAGGCAGATTAGGGCAGATTTAGCTATCAGCTATACTACACAGCCCAGGTAATTTTTATTTTATTTTTTAAGAGGTTGCCTGACAGCCCTGGAGCCACAGCTCCAGTTAGGTAACGCCTTCTGGAGAGGCTTTCCTGAGATGGGCTCTTCTTCAGAAATATTTTTCTCACCTGCTAAGTGCACCCATAACAAAGCAAATTTCAAATCACACACCGCCAAAGAACAGGGGAACCTGTTAGTCTGGGTGTCTGCCTCAGCTAGGTTAACTTGCACTGGTCAATTAAAGTATTAGTCCAGAAACAAGGAAAAATAACCAAACAAAAAGCTGGATCCAGAATCACAGCAACATGACTCAAAATAACCACCATAGAAATGAAAAGGCTGAATGCTTTATCAGTGTCTTCATCTGCGTATAGCCCTTTCCCTAAAGGAGAAATTTCTTCTGATATACAGCACATGCCTTTCTTTATACAGTACCCTGTATTACTTTTGTTTTCTCATGATGTTTGGAATATCTCTAAAACAACAAAGTCGCAAGGCTGATGCAGGTTTGTTTTATTAACAGAAGCTAATGTAGTCTTTCATGGATAAATTACTGCAGATTCTCAAAGGGTGAAAACCTAAGCCTATGAGAAATTAGGCCAAGGAGAATATGATGCAACACTGTCCACCAGAATTAGGAAATCTATGAAGTGAATTGCACAGGGCCATGCAACAACATGCAGAACATTCCCACAAGAAGAACCGGGAGATGAAAAGGTCAAATGGAAGAATAAATAAGGGGTTACCACTGACGGTCATAGCTAGCATCATTGTGTTGAGAAATGCTTTATCAGTAGGCTGCAGTTCTGATGATGGCCTTTTATTGTCTTTTTTTTTTTTTTTCCTATGTGGCAACACTTTATTTTAAGTACCTTATCATTATGAATTCATTTAGTATTGATTGCAGAGGCTCTGATCATAAAGAATTAATTTGGCATGCCATGAATGTCATATGCATTTGTATAAAAAAATTGCTTTAATTCAAGATTAATTAATATGGGGAAATGTTATTGCTTTTGTAATATCACCATTATAATACACCTCATTTTTTCCAGTAGTTCAGAAGCTTGCCCTCAGTACTTTTAGCAGAGTTTCTTCATTCTTTCACAAGTTTTTTAAAGAGTAGCTAGAAGCTTGCTATATTTCACTCTTAGATATTTTCTTGTCTTTGGGGTAAGGGCTTAAACACCTCTCAGAGCATCTAGTGGTCCAAAAATTTGTTATATTTATTGAAATAACTGGACTAAGTAAATCTTCCCACCTATGTGACAACACTGGGACAAGCAAAAGTAATTTAAGCTTGAATTTCTTGCTAGCCCAACAGAAGACTTGCATCTTCAGAGAGTGAGCAAACACAGAAGGAATTACCTGTGACTTCAAGCTCTCTGTAGTATGTCAAAACATACTTCGAGCAAATTGAGCCTTGACTAAAAGCAGGTATGCGCTTTGGACACGATGTCTCATTGCATCTGTTACAGGCAATGTGTCAGCCACGTCTCCATCCGGCTGCTTCTGACTGTGATGCAACATGACACAGTTTGATAACAAAAGGATGTAATACACTATAATGACTCCAGGCAGGCAATTGCATTGCAATGGGACATGCTGCCATGTAGTAGCAGGTGACATACCTCTTCAATCAGTCATGGACTAATCGCTAAAGCCTCCAGTTTAGGTTCACTTTGGAAAAAATCCTAGAGTCTTGATGATTATTTTCATCTGAACATTTCAATATCGCTTCCTGCTGCGCTCACCCTGGCCTCCCTTCACTCTTGCTGAATTTCCAGGTAGTGGCTGACACGGTGTGCCAAAAAAACAAACAAACAAAAAAACAACAATGAATGCCTGGAGTCCAGGTTGTGCACAAAACTATCCTCTTTGCTAGGGAATATTTACACATTCACCCTTAAAAATTAACAAAGGGAATGCTGCGAAGGTAAGAGGCTATTCTTTATTTGTGCTATGGGAAGCAATAATGGAGATTTACAGTTCTTCAATACAGCAAAGGATTTCCCAGAATGCTGACTAACAGAACTACTCTGTACTTTATTGATGTACCGACGCACTGAAAACACAGGTTTATTAATAAATAGCTTGACTAAAGATGTAGAGGGAGCTCAGAGAAGGACAGAGCCTATGAAAAACAACAGGGAAGTGTGGAAAAAAAATACTGTATGGGACTGAAGAAACATGATCAGGAGATTAATTTTGGGGATCGGGAGAGAAATTTAAGTGCCTGGGGAAAACCCTGAAGAGTGCAGGGAGATCTATGGGAGGTCTGTGCCTGCAGAATGTTTCCCCTCCTGTTTCTGATTTGTGTAGCTTTAACCATCCTGCCATCTAATTAATTTCCTTTGTAAAGAATATCACAGATGTAAAAATCAACTTGAAAAAAAAAAAAATCCCTGTTTATAAGCACAAAGCGTCAGCCCCTTGATGCATGGGAAAGAGCACTGAAGGAAAGGGCACTCAGGGCCACTGGCAGGGGACAAACACCACTCGAATGTCCCCTGTGCACCATCCAGGCATCACACCTCAGCCTTGGCCCTTGCTGGAACAACCTCTTTTAGAGAAACCAGCAGATTTAGGGTAAAACTGGCCTCCCATGCAGCCCGCATGTACTTTGCCAATGGACTTTCATTTGCTTGCATCTCAGCCACGGGTACTCGACTCCGATCACTCAGTGGGACTCCAAGCCAAGCGAGAGGAATAGCAGGGGGAAACATCCCTCGCATCTTCCCTTTCAACCTCAGCAGCATGGGGAAGCGTATCAACGTGCAGCAGATGTGCTGAGACCAAAGTGATCTCTTCCTCATGATTACAGTTGGTTATACCTGGGGATGGGCAATTTAATTCAGGCACAAATGTGCAAAGGAGAGCGGTACTAAAGTAAAACAAGTGGTACTAAAGCCTTTGTTCCATCTACAGTAATATGGTGTTTTATTTCACTAGACCTGGCTCACACATAAAGAAAAGAGGCACAGTTTGATACATGCCTTCTCTGATGAGTACTGCTAAGTAAGTGTATTTGTTCTCAGCGTTGTTGTCATAAATATCATGAAATTTCTTATTTGAAGTTGGGAACTAATGATTCTTTCTCCTTAATGTGCTACAGTGACTCTGCACCCTATTGTTTTCTACCATTTGAGAATGCCCAAGGATGTCATTATAACTTCATGTATCAATATTAAACCTTTGCAAACAGTCAACTAAATGAGCAGTTATCTTTGTTTCTGAAAAGAGTGTACTTTTTTTTTTTTAACTTCATTTATCAGTAACTAGGTGTAGTCAATTGCTCTCCAGTATTGATCACAATATCTATAGCAGTCACAGAGTACCTTTGCTCAAGGTCATTGTAAGGTCGAGTTATGATCAATATGAATTGACTGTCTGCAAATAAATTTAAGTAGCTGACATAACTGAAAGGAGTACCTACTTAAAATTAAGGTGGACTCTGCGTCCCTATGTTAGAATGGCTCATGGTCTATATAAGCATGGAGGAGGTACGAGCAGTCTGAATGCGCAACACCAGTCCAACAGTTTTTTTCCTGCAATTAGTGGTGGATAACTGTGGATATAATCCTGAAAACATTTACTTGCAGGATTAAAAAGCACCAGTCTTCAATCTTGTCTCTAATATGCCGACTCACTTGGGATCAGACCCATTGCATTTAAAATAAATAATCTATTATAGATATAGATACAGATATAGACGATATAGATATATGCAGGGTCTCTGTTGCAACACTGCATTTCCTGCTGGCTTTCTGTGCTCTATTCTAAAGAATCCAGGCCAACATTTTTCAATATCCATACCTACACCTTGTTCTTCAACTCCTATTTAGGTATCTGTGTAACCGATTTTTCTGAGCCAATGGGTTCCTTCTGGTTTTAACACCTGTCAACAGGCAACCGTATTAAAATACTTTAAACTGAAGCCATCAACCTTTCAAAAAATAAAAATAAAATCAGTAATTTCTACAGACGCTGCTGAAATTTCAGAGAACAGCTACCTGAAGACGCTACAGTCTCTGAAAATAAATGAAAAAATAAATAGCCCGGTGGAATCAGAATAAGTGTGTTAAGCTGAAATGGGGTCACACACAACTAGCAGAGACACATCCCAGGTGGGACAGGGCAGTTTGGCTCTAGAAGAAGACCTGTGATCAGGTCACTGGCCACTGGATGTCACTGCTGCCTACCCGAAGGTAGCCTACAAAGCACTTATGTGACTGTAAAAATTGTGGCTGTAGGAAGCAGTTTTGCTGGAAACATTCCACATAGTTAGGCAATTTCTAATTTCAGAAAAATAGGCTCATAAAGCTGAAGAAGGCAATACCCAACTTCAAGAGTAATTAGTTTCATTTGTTTGATTCAGCCTTCTCTCAATGAGAAACACTAATAAAGAGTATGTTTGGGGGTCACAAGTAGTTCCAGAAAGTTGCAGCTATCGTGCTTTTAAAAAAGGACATCTTCAATAGAGGTATTGCTTTACTGATAACATTTGAAAGAACAAAAACAAGCCCTCACCTTGAAAATCCTCTTCTTATTTCTATCAGTCTGTACCTTCAGGAAGAGTGTATTAGTTTGGCTTGCCTAAAGGAGATACCACCACTGCTCCCGACCATTGCAACCAACTGCTCAACATAAGTCCCACTGAATCGAAGACAACCTGAACAATACCTAGGAAAGATCTGGCCCACATCTGAAAAAAAAAAAAAAAATCAGAAATTATTTTCTATATTTAGACTATAGAGTCTAAATTATTATTGTTGTTATTAATTGAAGCCATTCATCTTGGTTCTTCACATTAGTGCAGAGGCTCTACGGGTGGGATTTATGTGACCAAATGCAGATGTCTATCTTGCAGACATCTGAGCCAGGCTCTTCTCACATTCAAGCTAGAAAAAGAGATGCCATTAATGTGGGATTAACCTCATCCGAGAGCAGATATAAAAACGTGCCAGATGAACTGCATTTTAAAGGATCTACTTCTCCCTCTTGGTTTAAAGGAAGCCCAAAATGACTAGCTCTTATCTAGACATCTAAAGGCAGGTGAGCTTGCTCTCATTCCCTCTGACTAAGATAAAAGATAAAAAGGACATTCCAGGTGTTTTAAGCAGGAAAAAACAGTACAGCCTCTCTTAAGACCAGAGCTCTGTGTTAATTCACACCTCCAGAAGGGTGAGAAGGGTGGCCTTAAGCCTTCCCATGAAATACTCTAAAAAAGAAAGCTAAGACCACAGGGATATCAATAGCGTGAGGCTTCCCAAGACAGCTGAGCCCTTGTAGACTGCTTCTGCTAGAGGTCTTACTCTGTTAGCTCCTAGTCACAGCTGCACGTTTCTAACCCTCCTTGCTGGGCTGCTTTTCTCATAGCTGAGCATGCTGAACCAGACCACCAAGAGGTTGGATAAATACCAGACCTCATGCAGAAAGAGCATGGGAGCGCGCAAAGCAGGCAGGGCGGCAGGACCAACTTTTCCTGGCAGTAGCAAGCCATCAGATCAGATCTACCATTTCAAAAAACTACAACACAGTGCTGTGGGGGGAAAGGACATCCAAGCTGGGCAGTACCTCTACTCAGGATTCCCTATATGCCAATTCCAGCCCTGTTTTGGCATTCAAACCCCTCTTTAAGACTTCAGGCATTTCATAAATTTGAGTCCCAGCTGCACTTCATGCTTCACTGACACCTCAAGATGGATTTTCTGGTTGGTGAAAATGACATTTTGTTAGAAGAAGTCACACAAGATAATCTAAATCCCACCTTATCCAAGAAGCAACTGGCTCCCTTCACACAGGGCAACTCTTTGTACCCATCAGATACCCAATGCCTGCACAGCCTCTCCTTCCCTTATCCTCTTCCCCTTATGACCCTAGCTATACCCAAGAACTTTTTCATACATACATTAGATGATACTCAACTAGCTCCCAGAAACAATGGCTCTCTTTTAGGTGCACACAGTACAGTAGCAACCATTTTTTGAGGCATGAAGACAAACCACATGCTCCAGCTCAGATGCTAGCAGCACAGTATTTACATAGACAATGCCAATACCTTTGGTCTCATTGTTTTACAGTAGTTTGATCAAGGAAAGCATTTGAAGTAAAGTGTACAAAGGAAGTATTAGTGAAAGATGGCTGTCTAGTCACACTGCAAAGCGTTACCAAGCAGGCCTTCTGGGAGAAGTCTTTCATCTTTAACTGAGATATTAGAGGGCTTTCCTAATAAAAAGATACATCATCCATTAGCTTATATATATAACCCAAATGACATCCTCACAAAGTGTAGCAGTCTTGGGGCCCAAACCATTCAAGAAGCAATTACAAAATCAATAACACATGCTGCGGTGATTACATTTGATTAGAGACAGCATAGAGAGAAAAAAAAAAAAAGGAAAAAAAAGAGCAATATTCACCCACTTCACTATCCCTAAAACGATAACTCTTCATTGTGAAGGTTCTGATACATAAAAAGGTTTCCTTCGTGCACATGAAGGAAATCAGTCTGATATATTGGTAGCGATGAACACAAATCAAGACCTTGACCACTACGCTTAGGGAAAGAGGGGGGCTGTAGCCAAACTGTGAGATGAGACCTTCTCATTTATCGTTGGGCCAGAAGCCCACGCATCCCTTTACAATTTGGATGCAGAACCACATGTTACGGTTTGTAGCCATCCCTCATCACCAACTTATCTTTTTATATTATATACACACACCACAAAAACATTAGATTTTAAGTCATCTATTGATGATTGACCACTTTTGTGAATATTCCTACTGGAAGATTACAAATGGCTTAATGTAATGAATATAACTCAGCAGGCTATGGCTTACTCAAAGGAAAAAAAAATATAATAAAGTTTCCAATGTTTAGGATTTGATAGGGCCTATACAGGCCAAGCTAGTCTAGGCTGTTCTCCTTCGATGATAAAAAAATACACATTTTAATACCTTGCAATGAAAGCTTACGGCCTAGGGAGCCAATATTGCAAAACAAGGGAAGGGAGGAGAGGTAGAAATAGAAAACAGGGAGTACAGGGATGGGTAGAGATAGAAAGGGAGTGCTATTAATATTTTACCCATACGCAGGGACCGAGGCTCATAAAGCCCTATTCAAAGGCTACCACATTCAACAACAACAACAAAAACTTATGGCCTCGCACGGCCCTTTGATCAGGCCCACACTTTGGGGTCCTGAAGAGCAGCCATGTTCCAGTGTCCTGCCCTGCTCTTGGGCACACACCATGTATATGTAGTGTCATGCTCTAAAAGCACCACTCCAGCAGACTGCACCCCAGCCTACATCAAGAGACTGGACTATTTGAAGTAGAGAAACAAATAAAAGCCACCCAAAATTAATGTATTACAGCTCAAGGTAGCACAGGCACTGTGTAAGACTAAGAAAAGAGCCCAGTCCTATGCTGTATGGGAAGGGCTGGTTGGGGCCTGGCCCTAAATCTGATCCAAGAGGCTCCTGGTATCAGGAGGGCTGTGCTGACACAGTATAGCCATGGCATGCAGGAGAGAAATGGAATAAAAGATTTTACTTCACTGTCTGAAGATTTAGTAGGCAATTTGTGCTGTCTAAAATGCATCTTTGAAAGATAAAAATTAAGCAGCTTGTTACGCAGTCACTAATCAAGCAAGCCCCTCATGCTCAAATATTTAAAGGAGTCCTTTTGTTTATTTTTACTGTCTCCAGTGGGCTATTTGCCTGAGTCAAGACTGCCAGATTTGGTCCCATGGAACTTGATCTAAATAAACTGCAGGAAGTGAATGGGAAAAAAATCTTGTATTGTTCCCTCATTGCTTGAATTGCTTGAACCGCATTCAGGTAGTCTGACCTCCGTAAACATCTGTTAGCAGGCACAGAGCTCGTGTTCCTACAGTTAGCAAAACACAAATGCAATATTAAAAGCATAACGATTCTCCTCCTTCTGAAAGCAAGTTTCCACCTTAAATAAATTAAGTTGTGTTGCAGCAGTAGCTAAGGTGGTCAATGCAATTAAATTCAAAACCTGAATGTATTGAACTTTCTGCAATTATACATGGGTCATCTCTGGACAATATGTTGGCCATCTGGTAGCATCTGTGCTGTTCCCACTAATAGAGTTCCTGCTGTGGCTCCAGGCCATGACAGGCAGCACTAAGCAGGTCACATGTTGTGTCTTTCAGCCATATTTAGGTCACAGTTTTGGGGGGGTGCAGGAATAATCGTCTTGCACAAAGGCAGTGAAAATGAATAACCCCCTCTCAGGTATTTTGTGCATGCAAAAAGTTAAAGGGATACTTTTCGGGATTTTTTTTTTCAGCTCCTCAGCCCTAGGATTAAGAGCAAATTGTTGAAGTCAAGACAACTATTGCATTTTAAACTGTAAAACTAACCCAGACGTCTCTTTTCTCATCTCTTTGATAAGGCTCTCACAAGCATAAGAACGGTTTACTAGTTTGCAAGAATAAAGTACTGAAAATAACATTCCCATTGCTTTTTTTTTGCCTTTTTTTTTTTTTTTTTTTTTTTGATAAATACTCGACTATTTTTTGCATTCTGTTTTGGTCACAAAGAGAAGTTCCTGAATAATCCTGATTAGTGCCTATGGGACTGAGAATGGCCCCTCAGATTTTGAACAGGCCTAACAGGGCAAGAGAGGGGGGAAAAGGAGAAATGTAAATAGTTTTGCAGCAAGTCTGCTAAAGCCAAATGGCTTTCATGCCATGCGTTTTGCCACAAACCATTTTAGAGGGTAGACTAATGAAAAATTAGTCTGGTTGTCTGAAACAGCATCACTTCTCAAACAAGGAAAAAGCCTACCTACAATTCCCATATTATACCTGTACGCTGCAAGGGTTGCCAGAAATGCACACAAAGTCACGTGCACTAAAGATAGTGTTTTAAAATAATGTACTACTGATGTATTTGCTGCAAAATTAATTTAATATGGATTTAGAAAACAATGTGCTCTGTCTCTTGACCAACATAAGCAATTTCAGTTTGACATCAATTAGTGAGTAGCTTTTACTCTTATAGACATATTTATAATGGAAAGGAGTGCATTTAGGCTTTAAGGTCCTGCCAACTAATCAATTTGATGAACTAATTGATAATAAATGTTAATTGACAACTAACAGCAGTCAATTAATTGCATTTCAAATGCAGCTCCAGGAAGCTGAGTTGAACATTATTCTACCTCAAGCTACTCAAATAATAGCTCAGCAATGACTTTGCAACAGGCTTCAAAGGTCAAAATGGGCTACTTTCCTATTTGTCATAAGATCTGGGAACATGTGTTCATAAAAGGCAGTGACCTGTGCACATGCCTGGTTTGCACTGTAATTCCGATATGATGGCTGCTCACAGCGCTTATCAACACCCCATTCATAAAGCTGCGCCGTGCGGCAGCTGTATCAGCACTTTCTCTATAAAATCCCGGGTTCAGACCTAAATTTCTCGTGGGGTGACACATGGGACTCAGGTCCTCCACTCAAGGGACATTTCTTTGGTTAAAGCTGATACTAATCAAGTTGGGGGGGTAGGATGAAGAGAAAGAGTTCCTTTTTCCTGACTGGGTTTCATTTCCTTGAAATATTTTGTGCAGCTCCCAGTTCTTTGTAACTAATCTCTTTGAAGGGAATATGTTGGCCTTCTAGCAGCCATGAAGGACAGAGCATTAATTAGATAACAGTGTGCACAGGTAGGATGATTTCTGGTATTTTCTACCTGACCACATTTCAAGAAACTACTGACTGAAACGGGAAAAGGAACAAAAGTGGTTTTGCTTATTTTACCCAGACCTTAAAGGCTCTGCGATGGACAAGCCACGCAGATGCATGCACGGAAAAGATGTTTGGGATTTCACGTAGCACGCATATTCAAACTATTTAATATTTTCCCATGCTGGATTTCCAGCCTTGCCTTACTTGCACCTTGCCTCTCCCCATCTGCACAGCTGTGCAACAGTTCTCAGCCTCTTTAATTTCCTTCACCGTTTCCCCTTCAAAACATCATCTGCTCCCTCACCTTGAATTGCCACAGCTCAGACAATGTTTTCGAAAACCATCTCTCTACACATAATATTTTAACCACTTTATTACAAGTTCTCCCTTTTCAAAAGGAGGCTACTGGAAGGGACAGCACCGATCAGGCTCACAAAGCCCCTAGCCTCTACCTACATCCCCAGACCCTGCCAGTCGGCTTTTTAACCCAAACTAAAGTTACTTCCCTAGCTGAAGGGATAAGTAGTTACCATTAAATTGCCCAGAGGCCTTTCAAATCAGCCAGAATGAAGAGAAAGAAAGAAAAAAGAAAGAAGAAAAAAAAAATAAAAATAAAAAAATGAAGAAAGAAAAAAAGAAAAAAAGAAAAAAAAAGATAAAAAGAAAAAAAAAAGAAAAAAAGAAAAAAAGAAAAAAAGAAAAAAAGAAGCAGGCTTGAGCATTTTTCTGGGATAGATCCCTGAATGTTAAATACTCGTTATCTCTTCCACATTATAGTCTGGTGAACCTGCTCAGGATCAGCTGCATCTCATCTCTAATCCAGCAGATTGATGAGACCAGGAGGGGTGCATCTGGTAAACCATGGGCTCCAGTGACAGCAGTGGTCTTACGAGTCCCAGCTCCACCTGAGGAGCTGCAGATATTGTTCAAGTGATTACTATCCGAGAGAAATAAATATCTAGGTGAAGACCAGCTGGCCTTAGCTCAAAGTTAGGTAAACAAATGGTAAGGAATGGGAAAGCTGTTAGGAGTAATAATTTCACTTTTACTGAATACTGCTCATTTAAGAGTGCACGGCATGGATGGTACAGGATCCAAGTGGTTTAGTGAACTGCTTCTGGAGGTAGCAAAATTAGCCAGATATAGTGCAGATTTTGGTTATCAGAGCAGAGTGAACAAATTTCTGCATTCAGAGGCTGGCACAATTTCTCTCCTTCCACTGGAGAGGGAGAATAAAAAATACAAATAAATAATAATTATACTAAATTAATAAATAGGAAATCCATATTTGCACAGCAAGAGGGAGTAGGAGTTTAATCCCTTCTTTGAGGCTCTAACTTGTCCCAAAGAACTGCACAATCCTGCACACTACAGCAACGAGCACAGCAGAAACAGAAGCCCTGTACTAGTGCTACCTTCCTTCCAAACTGTGACCTGCCAGTAATTTTCCTTCCCTAAAATTTCCATCCTGTCATGACAGATAAAGTGGCAGGGTCTACCATTCC